TCGTTTCAAATACTATCCATCATGTGATTAATCTTGTCATTGTAACCGAAGTCTGATGAAACGTATTAATTTTGTTTATACACAAAAGTACACAGTTATGTGAAAAATTATTGTTGTAACATTACGACTTGGCGATGCGGAATTAACGAGTCGTGTATCCGAACGTTCTCGGGGAAGTATTGTATCCCGATGTAACGATGATTTAGTGTACACGCTGTCGTGCTTTTTTTGTTAATTTTTTCAATAAACTGTGTATAATAAAAACGCAGAGTTGTTGTTTCGGGTAAGAACCAAATGTATATTTAAGGAATGTTCTCTTTGGCGGAGTGTAAAAATATTTACAAAATACACTGTAGATGCGTCGTGACGCCGAATACGAGTATTCGCATGTGGAAAGTTATTGGTCATAAATAGTCTACTCTGTGAAGTTGTATTTCACGGTTCAAGGATTTACGAAGGTCCCCGATTCTCTTCGCTGTCCGAGAACGGTTGCTCGTCTTGGTCTTCAGGCGGCATTATTGCCTCTTCTAGAATAGTCTCCTCGTTAGGGATCAAGCCTTGAATATACCTAGCCTGTTCCTCTATGTCCGGTATCTTCTCATGAATCAATCTCTCGACGTTCACTTTGTTTAGCTCAACTTGTAAGCGTCTTTTCAGAGGCCCTTCTATGGCGTCCATAATTTGATACCTGATAGAGCAGAAGTTTTTTTACTGGAAAAAATCTCCTTAACCTCTTAGTTACCTCTAGAACTACCAGACAAGTCAAAATCCCAGATTCTCTTTTGTTAGAATAATTGAAAAGCTAATAACTCTGACAAATTATTCAATTTCAATATTTTTTCTGTTAGAATAATTGAAAAGCTACCAAATAACTCTGACAAATTATTCAATTTCAACATTTCTTCTGTTAGAATGATTGAAAAGCTACCAAATAACTCTGACAAATTATTCAGTTAAAACATCCCTTCTATTTGATTGAAAAGCTAACAAATAACTGACAAATTATTCAAGTCCAATATCTCAAAATCTCAATAGACTGTCAGTTTCCATAAAAAACTTAGGAAAAGCCAACTCGACTAGGTAGTTCCAGCGTGAAAAAGGAAATCACGAGGGACAAACCTTAAAAGGTTTGGCAGTACATTAATGCTGGCTTCCATTAAGTAATCAATAGTACCAGCTCCGCGAACCCTAGCTTGGATGTTGCCCAATTCTAGATTAAGCTCCTCGAGTTTAGGGTTCTTCCGGGTGTCCAGGGGCTGACTTAATTTCACCTGAACCCTGAAGTATTGCACGGTAAAGGAGACCGTGCCGGCCCTAGACAGGAATCCACCGATAACGTTCACTTCCCAATGGGTTTTTCCTTCGATCTCCTGCGTTCCAACGTCGATCGTAGCGTACACCTTTATAAGGAGAATCACGGAACAATATTTTTAACGCCCACCGTGCCGGTGACATAACGTGCACGACAAATAACGAATACCGATCCGCGACCGATTACCGGTGTATTTTCATTTACAATGCACGCGACGTAATTAGATGATATAATGGTTTGGCTCGCGGCTTGCGTTCGCAGGTGGGCGTGTGATGCAATCGTGGAACGACATCCAAAGATGAACAATTATACTACATAATACAGCTCGAGGCGACTAATTAGTTTAACACTGAAATTACCAGAGGGATCAAATGACCTATGCCTGATGTCTTTTTGCAATTATTAGAAACGCAACAAATGTTTCTCTGAGAAATTACTAAAGAAATTCATTTACTACGCAAATTCAATTGTAGATCAATTAAAGTCTGAACAGATGTACTCTTGGAGTTTCTATAGCGAAATTTTCAAAAGTCAATTGAAGTGCTCGGTAGTTTTAGTGTTAAGAAGACTCGAATCTTCCAGTTCTTCGAGCGAACAATTGAACAACCAACATTCAACGTTTCCTGAATCTCTTGGATCACCGGTAGATTATTTTTCTTATTCACCTTCGGCGAGTCGCGATAACCGATCGCAGAGGAATATTTACTGTTTTATTCTCCATGCTCAACGTGATGTTTCCCATCCGATAGAAACTCGCCAGACCAGTGATCCATGTGTGCGATGACGTCACGACGAACAACCCGACAGTCTGGCTGTAATCCTTTACTCTGAACGGGTCATACCCTAAATCGGACACCTTCCGGCGTGCTTCCGCTACTGCCATGTCAAACGGTGATATAGAGTTCGGGAAGTACTGAGGTAATTGTGATATCTGCTTGTTGACTTCACCCCTGGAAGATTGTACCGTTAATCATTATTCTCACCATGAATTTCCCAGTCGTAAAGCATCAAGCTTCAACGTCGTATAGTTCACTGTTCAGTATTTTTGGTATACACACTGATATGCTAAAATATCTTCAATTGCAATTGAACATTCTATCCTAGACCTAAAGTTCATTGTAGATCCTGCACAGAATACAATGGTTCTGCATAGAATACAATGAGCTTAAGTGTAACATTGACACCCCAAAGTCTCAACAGTGAGACTGACCTGATAAATTATCTTTGCAATTGAACATTTTATCCTAGACCTAAAATTCATTGTAGATCCTGCACAGAATACAATGATTCTGCATAGAATACAATGATCCTAACATTGACACCCCAAAGTCTCAACAGTGAGAGCTACGCCACGACTCCTTTACCGTATGTTAGTGTTGACTTCCTTCAATATGAAGGGTTTAATACTGTCGAATATGAAGGTGCCCACAGAATTGATTACACCTTGGAACACAGAGCCCAGGAAGCCAAGATTCTTGAAGTCCATGTCTATCTTGTCGAACGTGAGGTCCATGTCAATGTCCTGAGCTTGCAGCTTGCCGTCGTTGCCGACCTCCAGTCTCGCAACACCCCGGACGTTCACCTCCGTCAATTTGACGGTGAAGTCGCCGGCAGAACGCGACAGCCATGAGGACAAGGTGTACAATCCACGGATGTCCAACGACTCGATGCTCAGAGCAACTGAGACCTATGGGAAATATACATGCACGGATACATGAGTGAACAATAATAATAGTAACACTTGGAATGTTTCTTTGCGAACAAAACACGATTGCTTTGATTATGCGGCTCCTCTATTTATTTCGCAGTTGATTCGCCAGTACCAATTTGGCAGCGACTCTTAGCTCGATGCGGTTTAATGTGATGACGCTTCTCTGTTAGTCATCAACGTGGAATTACCATTTTGATTAATTTGTACTTGTACTGTGTGGCCACTATGAGGAGGGTGAAAATTTGGATTTGTCTGGCATAATAGTGTGTGTGTGTGCGTAGTTGCAAGAAGTCAGTGGAACAGCTTAGAAGCTTACATCAGAAACTTTCAACAAAGATGATATTCCATTCTCAAAATTGTACACATAGTTTAACCTTTTGCACTCGAGAGCTCTTTAAAGTTTGTCATTCTGAACTATGCAATATTGTCATTAAATATATTATAACTTGTATATACTATACTTATAATAACTATTATAACTTGTGTATACTATACTTATAATAACTATTATAACTTGTATATACTATGCTTATAATAACTATTATAACTTATAAATACTATAAGTATTTATACTTGGTAAAAAAACATATCACTTATTTATATGTAAACATACGTTTCCTGTAGTAAAACTATAAAGGGCTCTATCTTAATTTTTTAACGCGCTCCACGCCACATGTACCACTTTTGTACACGCGTAATTTTGATAAGGAAACATCTTTTGTGATACATGTATCAAAAACAGAAGAAAGAAATAATATGAAAATATCTTAAAAATCAGGAAAAGCTTGAATGTAACTTAATTTCCACTCCATAAAAATGAAGATTCGTCTTGAAAGATTATTATGCAAATCAAATATAGAACAATGTTTATTATAATATCTTGGCTTCCGAATTTGTGGGTCGCCCGTTCAGCTCGCCGTTGAATCAACAGAGCAAACAGTTCAAACGAAATGTGCCATTTATCATTCGACAGAATATTTTGCCCAGCTCTGCTTCACTCGCATTTCACCTCTCCCTACTCGTGTTACCCTTCTCCCTCTACCGACGTACCCTTTCTCCCCTACCCACACACCCTCCACGTTTCCCCTCCCAACCAACCGACTCCTTAACACTATTCCTACCGAAGGCGTCGAAAGCCACCTTTTAAAACATCAACTTAAAATTATCTTCCAAGATTAGTCCTATATTTAGAATTGTCTTTCCGACTTTTCCAATGACGATTGTAAAATCAACTATAGAAAATCTCTTCGAACACGTTCGCCACAAATTTATAAGCCACATTATTTAATTCTACATAGCCGTATTTTGAAATTGTCACGCAGAACTGAATTTGCATTTTTTCTATTTTTACAGCTCATTAAAATGTTACTGTCGCGAACGTGTTAACACTTAGGCGACCGCCTAAAAAGAACTACAACCACAGCCTCCTCCATTACCTCCAATTGAACTCAATCAATCGATTCGGTTAGAAACTGTTTTGTAAAAACAAGAACCGTATTTGATGAATTGCAAATAATCCCACTTCAAGACTTACGAAGTAACAAAAGATAAATAAAACAAAAGGCAATACGTTGCTAAGTGAAAAGTGGGAGATCTCCCCATTGGGTTGGCTAAGTGCTAAGCTAAGATTTCAAAAGGTATCCTTCGAATTCTCTTCAGTGGAAATAGCGTTAACGTCGTCTATTGTTTTGTCATACAATGGCATCGGTGAAGAAGCGTCAACTTTTTGTAAAGAATGACAAAAATTCCAAAGAATGACATAATTACAGGTGACTAACACTAAAATTATCAGAGGGGTCAAACGACCCATACCTGATGTCTTTTTGCAATTATTAGAAAGGTAACAAATGTTTCTCTGAGAAATTATTGAAGAAATTCATTCAGCACTATGCAAATTCAATTGTAAATCAATTAAAGTCTGAACAGATGCACTCTTGGAGTTTCTGTAGCGAAATTTTCAAAAGTCAACTGAACTGCTCGGTAGTTTTAGTGCTAAACGGAGAACAGCGACGAATCATTCAGTCGCCGGACTCACTTGCATCAAAGCTAGTTCCGAGTCCATGCGGACGATTCGGAATTTCGAGAGGCCGTAAACGTTGACTTGCTTGAAGTTCATGGTGTACATGGAAAAGGAATGCTTCATGTCCGGCACTGACATCGGGTCCGGTATCGGCGCGCCAGGTAGGCCCACCGGATCCTCTTGCTGATAGTGTGCCAAGATCGTGCGAATATGATCCCCGAGCCGCTTCTCGCCAAGAGCGATTTCCGCTGCCGTGTCATTTTTCTCTGCGAAACAGAATCGTCCATTTAATACGCCAGTCGAAACGTTACCAATGAAAAATAATGAAAAATAATGAAAAATAATGAATTTAACCCCTTGTCCTACAACAACGAGTGAGACTCGTGGTGAAGATTTTCAACATGATTCAACAAATATATATGTTACTTAGTTAATTCGAATTCGAAGTGAATATTATTCTTCTGTGATCAACTATTATACTTAAAAGGAAATATAGGCATAATACATGCTTAGAATTTTTCTCTTTTTCCAATAAATTATTAATGACAAAGTAGCCGCATCGATCAGAGGTGAGAAAGAAATCATAGGCCAAGGGGTTAATGATTTACAAACCAATCATTTCATATTAATTCATTAATGGGAAATTTTGTATTCGGTAATCAAGTAAGTTGATAATCGGTCTACCGAGTTCGAATTGAAATCCAGCAAAAATATCAATTTTTTGAAAAATCAATAATCTGTTGCGATCGGTGCCACCACAGTGGCGACATTTATATATTAAATATAAATAATATAAATAAGAAAACATTAACTTCAATAAAATTTTGATATCTATATATTTATTATAAACTACCTATAGAGAAATTATTTTGAAAATATATATATTTGCTTCGACTAGTTGGTACTGTCATCAGAAAAATGTGTCGATCGTAGATTAAAGTATTCAATTAGAGAATATTACGGAATATGGTAGTTAAATCTTTATTGGAACAATTAAATCTCTAGGGGGTCTGCAGCAGCAAGTGGCTCAACTGTTTTATAATATTCTAATTTTTTTGTTAAGAAATATGTATATATTAAGTATGCATGCGTAAGTAACATCGCATTTCCGAGAAATCGGCCTCTGAACCGATTGTGCAACGTGTGACAATCCGTCTATGCAATTCCTGAAATGCATTTCGTAGATTCAGTAACCCTTTGCACTCGTGAACCTTCCACTAGAAACATTCGACACTTTCCAGTTAGACATAGACGAAAATTTGAAACGAATTAATTAAAAAACATGCGTAAATTAAGAAATAAAGCTATTTTATATAAACATCCCATATATTAATGCATCATACAAAATTTAATATTGTATACAATTTTTCGTATCAAATCAAATGGTGAGAGTCATCTGTCGAGTGCAAAGGCTTAATTGCAGGAAAACTGTCCCGTGGGATAATTCGACGCTTTCCAATTAGCATGGACGACATTTGAAACGAACTACTGAGAAATACGTAAATTAGAAACAAAGCTACTATATAAACATCCCACATATCGATGCATTATACAAAACTTAATATTGTATACACTTTGCAATTTTTATATCAAATCAAACGATGAGAGTCATCTGTCGAGTGCAAAGGCTTAATTACAGGAAAGCTGTCCCGTGGAACAATGCGTGTTACTCACCAAGAGGCTTGACCGAGAGGTCGTCACACCGGCAGCCGAGAACGCAGCAGACGAGGACGAGGAGTAACTTTCGAGGTTGCATTTCCGTCGCGTTGACAAAACGGGAAGAGTGGCCGAAAATCGGGCGCGTGGAGGAGCAGCGAGCAGTGCGGCTATGCGGTAGATCAGGCCACGCATTCGACTGGTAGGCGAGTCAGTGAATTTAGTGGAACGATATCTCGTGGGTCATTGAAGGAGCGAGGGTCAACCGCTTTATCTGGCCCCCGGTCTGACCCCCCTCTTATTTATGCGTTGTTTCCTCCGTAGCCTCCCCTTAATTCCGCGCCACTTCACTACTGTTAACATGCACGTTGCCCGCCCGCGATTCGCTAATGAGACAACAGTGTAAATACCCGTGTCATCGAAAATTCTCAGCCTCTCTCGAACCTCTCCGATTTCTCCCGACGGACGTCCACGCGGGAAACGAGAAATCTGCGAAGAAACTGCCGTATCAGCGTGTGCACGTTACTTCCGGGGATCGTATCTTTCGTTTATCTTTCGCCGAACGTCCAACGTTCTTTTTCTCGTGCATTGCGCATCGGCGAGGGATACGGTTTATTTCGAGTAGGACGGTCTTGAATGAAACGTTTAGTTACCGGAGTCATGCTTCCCTGTGTCTCGTGGAATGATTCTGTTATCCTAGATGCGAGGAGCAATAATGTACGCGTGGAAGTGCGAATATTTAAATTTGTGTCGCCGGGGTGATGCACTAGAGAATTGTTGAGTCCGCCAATTCTGGGGTCTAGTGATTTGTAGACACTGTATCGGTACTGTCGGTTTCTAGTTGTGAATAAAGTCAATTTCTGTTTGTTAAGAATCGTTTATTCATTTTAAATTGTTTGGTTAATAGTGATATTCTTTTTGTAAATATTCAGTTAGAAATAAGCTGTCGTAGAAATTGGTAGGTAGAGTATTTCAACATTGTAATTTAGTGAACATTGTAAATAAATATATTCAATAAACATACTACAGATTGATGCAAGTGGCGCCATCTGTCGGAGACTATATGCACTGTGTGTAGAAATTTCTTTACCGACGAATATGTCGGTTAGTATTTTAAGTAATGATAAATTATGGTTTCTGTATTATCGGTTAATTTGAAATGAACGCCCTCTGAATGTCTGTTTTATAAGACGTTCAAATGAAATGGAAGATAATTGATGGTACATAATGAATATCAAGAATTCTTTGTTATTTTTAATTATATCCTAAATCTTGGGAATATTTGATAATTAATGTGGGTATTTGATAATTAAAGTATTTATTGCGTGAAATTTATAGGCGTTCTGTGATAGTTCATACTTTGAAGATAGTTGCGTTTAAACGACTTGGTTTGCAAATTGGCGGGAGATTAGACGGCACTGAAATCTGAAGTTCATCGCTAGTGTATTTTCAAACGACACCACCTTCGTTTGCGATTAGACTTCATCCAATCGGTGTCTGAGAATGACACGGATTTTGGTTGGTACTACTGATTCGAGAATACTTTCTGTAGAATTTTAAAGAAGTTTGAATTCGGGGGATTTAACGTACCGCTCGATTATCACGTATGAGTATTATCTTTTTCTTCGTTAATGGTGTTTCTTTGTTCCAATATGATTGACATCGATGACAAATTAATCAACCATGAAAGAGGTAAGATCAACTGTCAGAGTAAATGTTGACATTTAATCTGTGCAATACATATTCGAAAAAAATGATCGGTTCGCTGTTTGCCGGTGGAAATATTTGCTGTTTTTATTACGCAGTAATTAGCTTTGAAATTATTTAGAAAATGTTTTCTAAGGTTCGGATGTTCGTAAATCAGCGGAGGAAATGGACGAGCAACGTCAAAAGACACTCGCGTACGAATACCTCTGTCACTTAGAAGAAGCTAAAAAGTAAAGTGTTTAACAATTACCATTCGCTTATTATTATTTGTTTTTGAAAAGTACTCTTAAACTTTTGCAGATGGATGGAAGCTTGTTTGAGGGAAACGCTTCCAGCCACCACTGAGCTAGAAGAGAATTTAAGAAATGGTGTGTATTTAGCAAAATTAGCACATTTCATGGCACCTGAGACTTTGCCGTTCAATAAGATCTATGATTCTGAACAAAAACGGTATGCTGTGGCTGGTCTGCAATTTCGTCATACGGACAATATTAATCACTTTTTGAAATCCTTGAAATCTATGCAATTGCCATTGGTATGTATACATTGTATAACAATGAGAAGAATATGCTTATAATTCTTCCAAGTAATATGACAATCGTTTTAACAGACATTTCAACCAGAGACAACAGACATTTATGACAAGAAAAATATGCCAAGAGTAATATATTGTATTCATGCTCTCAGTACACATTTATTTAAGCTGGGAAAGGCTCCACAAATTCAGGACTTATACGGGAAAGTGAATTTTACAGGTATATGCATAGTTAATATATAAGAAATCCTGTATCTTAGAATTATTCTGTTGATATTATATTATTTTGTATCTTTCAGAGGAAGAAATAAATGCTGTTAGCAAAGAGTTACAAAAATATGGGATACAAATGCCATCCTTTCAAAAAATTGGAGGACTTCTTGCAAACAGCATGGAGACCGATACTGCAACCCTTCATGCTGCTGTCATAGCAATAAATCAAGCAATTATAGAGAAAGTATATGATTATTTAAATTATTTATATTTTCCAATCAGTTTAAGTCACATCTAAAACAAGTATTAACCATTGCTCTTTAAGGATTATGAGAAAATATTAACCACGCTTCAGAATAAGGTAGTTCAATTAAACAATGTTATTCCTTGCTACATCAGAGAATATAGGAATAGTTTATTGGAAGCTAAAGATTCTAAAGCACAGGCTGCCCTTAACAGAGTGAGTATTAAATCATTAGAAGTAGCAATGAATGGTTACTAGCCATTAAACAATATATTTTTATGTCAGTCTCTCAATGATAGCTATGTACCAGATGTATACGATGAACTATTAACTCAAGCAGAAATTCAAGGACATCTTAATTTCGTTAATGGTGAGACATACATCAACCACTAATAGTTTAAAGCATACTTTCATCTGTCATTTGAAAATCCTTTTTCAGTTCAATGTGCAGTGGAAAAAGTAACTCGTTGTATTCGTTATAGAAACAATGAGTTCTTGAATGCCTTAGGAACACCCATCTTACGTCTAGAAGTACGTGTCTTTTAACTGCTACTATTTTCAATGAATCGTTCTTCTGTAAAACTACTCACCAGCATCATTTCTTTTAACAGAATATCATACACGAGAATGCGGATTTATACAAAGAACAGTTGATGCAATTACTAGAAAGCTCTGAATGGAATAACGTGTATTCGGACAGTCAGCACCATTGGAAGCAACTGCTCCAAAATGGAATTGATACGGCAAATCAACTTGCCCTGAAATCTCGTAAACGTCAGTATAACGATAAACATCTACAATATCCATATGTTACATATTTTTTATTAACGCAGGTAACGGTGCTATTGAACATTTAAATTTAACGCTACGAACCGGGGCGCAAAATGAGTTTTATAATGTTCTTAGAAACCCTGATCTTGGAGTGTCAGATAGAATCGATGACTTTGCTATGCCATTGTATTACGAAGAAATGAAAGTAGACCAAACAGAATCTCAAGTAAGGAGGCTATTAAATAAAAATCCTAGCTTCTCTTAATCCGTTATTAACGTAAATAATATTCTTACTAGAACGACCTTTCATATAGCGATGTAATAGTTAGCCTGAGGGTGTTGTCGTTAATCGCAGAGATTAGTAAGGCTGTAGACACTGGAAATCCAGATCTGGTTTACCAAGCATTGTCAAATCCAGATTGTCATGTCTCTGTAAGTATAATTTCATCTTGTACGTGTTCTACAAAAACAAATGATATTTATGCACCTCATGTTTTAGGGGTTGGACAACGAAAATAAAGTAAAATACTATAGAGCACTATCAGCGGTCAGATGCGAGAAACAAGTGATGGATGAAGACTGTCCTTTGCTGACATACATTGACATTCAAGAATGTATTGATGTTGTGAATCGGCAATGCCAGAATGACGATGATGGTACTGCACTAATTTGCTAAACGGTTTCCTCAATATGTATTCCATTGTGCACTTATAATATTTTCTTCACAGTGATACAAGTTCTGGGCCAGTTAAATTTGGCTGTTATGGAAAACGATCGAAACGGTATCTTAACTGCTTTAAAGGATACTGCTCTGAAGTTACAAAAATCCACGTCGCCGGACGATGCATCCCTTTATTTAAAATTATTTAAAAAGTGTCTTGCTGAGAAACATTTCGACGGTTCCGAATTATGGCTGGAAGATGTAGAAGCTATAACGAAAATCGTTGCTGCGGAGGCTGAAACCGTTCAGAATGGTACAACTTATTTGCGTCTGTTTGAATTTATGTAAAATATTTTCCACATTTTTTTCTTTAACGTTATCCGTTTTTTTTTAGTGTGTACGTTTCTATCGCAAGTGAATTTAGCCTTGCAGCAAAACGACATGATCTCTACGATCGATTGTCTTCAGACATTTGGTTTCAAAATCCCGGATAAATATAAGACAGAATGTTTTCAGAACCTTTGCGATTTAAGAAGAGTTAAGGTACATTGTTAATAATTTGTACGTCGATTACTTGATGCGATAAAGTGCATTACTTATTATTTTTTAGGGTGAAAATAACGATTGCGCGTTTGTACGTTTTGTTACTCCTAAGGGCAACGAATCATACTTAGATCTACAGGAATACAATTACACATGGGATTGTCCTAAAAACATGTCAGACTCGTATTACATAAATATGGAAGATATAAAGGTACAGTATGCACAGAGATTTTGAAAGAGCCGAGAATAACAAATACGTATGACACTTTTCAGAAAGTAATAAAAAATACAACCACCAGAGAACACGAAATGCTCAAGATAAATAAACAAATTATACACTTGCAAGCTCATATACGGGGTTATCTGCTACGTAAACGAATTTCAGATAGATTTGCATATCTTTACGCAAACATGGATAAAATTGTTCAAATACAATCGTGGTGGAAGGGTCTGGTTCAGCGGAAGAAATATGCCCGGCTACTAGAAGAGAAACGTAAACGAGATGCAGAAAAATATCAAAATAAGTACTTGAAAGTTAAAGCCCAACTCGAGGATATATTAAATCATTATAGGGAGCATGTAAAGTATATCTATTTTACAACTGGTATATGATAAAAGTACTACTGCCTTGTATGATATATCAAAATTTATGTATGCCTCAGGAGGAAAAAGTAATGAAAGTGCAAGCTCTATGGCGTGGTCGTGCGGAGAGACGTGCTTTCCGTTCTCTCTTGCACATGGACAAACCACCTTTCCCTGTCGTTCGACACTTCTCAGCGATCCTCAACTTTAACGCTGAAGACTATGACCGAGATTTGCAACTACAGGTACGCTCCCCTTTATTCTAGTATGTAACGACTATATTATTTTTCATTAAAAAACTTATTGTTGCAGCACTTGAAGCATGAAGTGGTGAAGAGTATTAGACATAATCAGGTCCTTTCGCAACAGCTGGATAGCATGGACATAAAAATAGGATTACTTATTCAAAATAGAATCACGCTACAGGTGAGTTTAAAAAAAATTAAAAATTAACAATTGTTGGTAACGGTGCTTACTGTTTCCTAATCAATTCCTAGGACGTTGTGGCACATGGTAAAAGTTTAGAAACCCTTGCAAAACAAAAGCATTCCAGCAAAGATCAGAAGAACATCTTCGTTGACAATAATATGTCGCACAAGGGTCTGAAGTCGTTAACCAAAGAGGGCAGGAGAATGTTAGAAGGATATCAACACTTGTTTTACACGTTGCAAACTAATCCCACGTATTTGTCGAAGCTGCTGTTTCTCTTGCCTCAAAGCAAGACGAACAAGTTTCTGCAGAATGTGATACTGACGTTGTTTAACTTTGGGTCAAATATTAGAGAGGAGTATTTGTTGTTGAAACTATTTGGGACCGCTTTGCAAGAGGAAATTAGGTATAACTTCGGCTTCATGAGAAAATATAAGAAAGTAAAAATAGTGAAACGTACAGAAAATAATACAATTGAATGTATAGGTCCAAATTTCAAAAGCCGTCCGAAGTTGTAACTGGAAATCCTCTCGTTTTAAAAATGGTGGTAAACTACGCGCGACAATTGAATGGCCAAAGAGCTTTGAGGCAGATTGTAGGTCCCATTATTGAAAAAATTTTAGCTGACCGTACGTTAAGCATAGAGACAAATCCCATCGACATATACAAATGCTGGAGAAATCAGTTAGAAATGGAAACTGGACAGACACTGTGAGTTGAACGAATTTCTAACACACCTGTCATTTTCATTTTACTACAATCATTTTCATTTGCAGAGATCTTCCGTATACCGTAACGCAACAGGAAGCTTTAAACTACGAACAAGTACGGATAAGACTGAACAAGGGAATACAACTGTTGCAAAGCACTGTCTTAGAATTCTTAATGAAGATCACCGAGTCCAGAGATTTAATACCATACGGAATGTTGTACATGGCGAAGATTTTGAACGATTCTTTAACCGAGAAATTTCCACACGCCCCGGAGAAAGATATATTGAAAGTAGTAGGAAATTTGATTTACTACCATTTTATTAACGCCGCGATTGTAGCACCAGACGCTTTTGATATAATCACGTTACCGATTGACCGATCATTGTCAAATGATCAGCGAAGGAATTTGGCTAGCATCGCAAAAATATTGCAGTTCGCAGCGTCTAAGAAAGGGGTAACCGCATTTCATTTGAAACATTATCTTTCTCTTTGTTAAAGTAGAAAAAGAAGTGTGTTTCATGGAAAATTTTTCAGTTCGGAGAAGAAGCAACGCATTTGGTCTGCCTAAATTCATTTATAATAGAGTGCCACGAAAAGTTCAAACGCTTTTTCCGGTACTGTTGCCAAATAGAAGATCTAGAGGAACACTTTTGTATTCATCAGTATACCGAGGCAACGCTGATTCACAAACCCGAGATTTACATTTCATTGCAAGTAAGTAAAACTTTGTATTCGTGGACTCTGAACATTTTAATGGACTATTGTCTAATAAGGAAGAATATAGCAAAAGAAAACTCTGAATTATTTAAATCACAGGAAATCTGTGATACTCACTGTCTCATGCTGGAGTACCAAGATCAAATAGCTCCAGATCCAATGGATCCCTTACATGATCTACTGGATGATCTAGGTCCTGCACCCACTCTGCCATCCTTACTTGGAATCTGTAAGCATTGCGTGTTCTAGAACCATATTGTAGTCACTAAGAAATAGTAATTATGCTTGTAACGTATGAAGTAACTATATTTGTTAGCCGATAACACCTGCGAAACAAATTTGTCACGATTTGGGAAAACAGAAGTGTGCCTGGTACTCACCAATAAGTTTCAAGTATCAGAGGACGAAGACGCTAATTTGAACAGGCTTTTCATAAAGACTAAGGAGCTGTTAGTTTCCGTGCTGCAATTCTTAAAAGGTCAAACATTAGTAGAAGCATTGGACACCTCTTGCTCGCCTGTACAGGAGAAGCTGTACGACGTGAAATGCTCCAGCATGTCGCCCACATTGAACATTATTCACAAAAGGTGAAATTTATAAATGAAACACAAATGTGATCATCGAGTTTCTAAGCAAGAATATGATTCAAGTAGAGGTTTGTTTCAGCTCGTCTTTAAACGACTGCAAGCTACAGCTGCGAGCGTATCTCAATAAATTGGAGCTTGGGGGATGGGTCAGCCAGACGGATGGATATCAGAACATCGTCACAGCAGTGGCCAGTGATCTTTGCAACAAAGGAAAGTATCGGATTATCCGGAACAAGGAACTGCAGACGTTGCGGGTAACTAAACAGAGACTGGAAGAGAAATGCAAATACTACCAGGAACAAGTTGAATATTACAATGAATATATACAGCGATGTTTGGAGAACTTGCATACTGGAAAAGGGTACGTGTACACTTATTTTTGTGTATTCGTTTCATTCTTAGAATGATTTTTTTGCAGGTCTTTGAGAGCGTTCAAAGCAATCCAAAAAAACAGTCACGGGAAACTAAGGTCCAAAATGACGCTGAAATATTCTGCGGCGAAGTTACAGGAGAAAGGGGTGTTGTTGGAAGTGGATGGACTTCCGCAGTCGCAGTTCAAAAACGTGATCTTCGAAATCAGCCCAACAGAGCACAGCGGTCTTTTCAGTGTGCGTTGTAAATTTATGGGCGTTGAAATGGAGAAAGTTGACATCGATATACAGAAGTTGCTTGAACTGCAATTCGAGGGAGCGCCGATTATGGACATGTTTGGTAAAGCAAAGGTTAACGTGAACTTGTTGTTATATTTATTGAATCGAAAGTTTTACGGTAAAACTTGAAAGAGAAAGAATTGAATTGTATTATTTATGATTACGCGCGCCGCTTGTGCAATTGTTTGTTGTATCGTGATTACGGTTCACTTAAACGGAAAAATACACATTGAAACGCCAAAAATGTCGGGAGCTCGCGGGAATTATTGAACTCGTTTTTATTATTGTTCGCAATTTGCAAGGACGATCATCATCAATTTATGTAAATAATTGTACGTATAACAATTTAATATCCTAATATAAGTATACCTTGGTATGTATTGTATGTAGCATCGAAATGGACTGGTACAGTGTAACAGTGCACAAAGAGATTATAACTTTTATAAATTGCCAAACGTTACAAAACTACGTAGAATACGGAATCTGGTCCATGGTGACTGAATTGCTTGGATTTCACATTGTAGTATGAACATTTCTTGTCAGTTTAAACATTTAACAACTATATACGCGACGAGAGTCTATGAAACAAAAACGATTTTAAATACGATGAAACAGTTCAAAAGAGAAATATTATATTTTACTAATATTTATAAAAATAAGTAAATTAATGATATCAAATGTCGCCTATCATTTGAGATAAATGGTTCCTTTCGATTTTTATTTGTTTTATAACTAAATTCAATTTCAGCCGTGTACCATATATTTGACTTTTTGTCGGTCGCTAGATCTTTTCCTTTTATTACAGGGCATGACGAATAATCATATGTAATGTAATAATCTTACTAGAATCTAAATATTTTTTGTGTTGCACCGTCAAAATAAGGTAAGGCATATTCTGAGAAATTCCTAATCGAGAACAATAGACTGTCCATTATTATTTATACGTTTTTGCAATGCTATACATGTAACTTATATTACTATTTAAATAGTGGACAACCTTGTGTTCCTGTGCATTTTATAAAATCTAAAATCGAATAGTTTGAACACAAACCTGAAGTTTCTATCGTTTGCATATTTTAATACAATAGATTTCTATTTTTATAAAATATACTACATAAAGGCCTGTTTAGTGGATACTGGCGAATAAGCCTGCACATTCGAAACAAAAGGATTGTT